TACAATAAACAAATACGATATTATTTATTCTTTACAGAGTTTGATTTTATTTCTAGTCATATGTACTTCATTGTTTATTTTTTTTCTGTCGCAAAAATAAATTACAATGATTAAATGATAAGAAATGTCAGTATCAGGGTAGGTCAGCAGAAATTCGCTATTATTTCAAAAGATAGAAAAATGAATCATTATCATTTGAATAAATTTACAAAGATCTAAGATCTAAATGGGGTTTTTTTTCAAATGTTTTGTATGATATTTTGTAGGTATAAATTCAATAATATTATGATCCATTAGCCGATAAAATTATATCACGCTATCCAAGAAATATAGTTCTAAATAAAGAATTTTAACTCGTGAATCGGAATTAAGATAATACTGTCACTTATCAATAAACTAATGAGTTATTTCAAGAATGAAGGCATGTTAAGACATTTAGGATGGATTTAAAAGGAGGAAAATGGATTCAATATATCATCAAGGTGTAGACATGGTATTATAGAAATTTCAAGACTATTGAATCTTATGTAAATAGTGTTGTTAACTTAAAATGAATAACAATAAACGCAGTTTTAGTTTATTTATAGTTTATTCACAGTTGAATCATGTATTGAATAATAGAGATTCTTTTGATGTAGATATGTAAAAACACATTTGAGCATCAAATCGTTATGCGTTAACTCTATTTCATACATACAAAGTTCAATTTATATGGAATTATATTATATGCCATTCTATATTAATTGATTACTGAGTAGTGACCAATGTCATGATTATCTAGTTCTTAAGAAAAATAAAATTCTACAGATTAAGTTGAACTATAATCCATAGTCTAAATGACTTGAAGGCATATGCTTTAGATTTTAATTATCTCAGTGTAGTCGGTAAAACTCTTGCAAATTGATCGATAGAATTTATTCTATAGACATAATGCGACATTTAGCTAATTTGTAATTAGTATCAGAAGGGGTTTTGTGGAGATTGTAGTAATTTCAACAATTGAGATCATGAGTCAATTGAAGCTAGACCAGTGCTTCCAGGTTTTCCATGGTTGTCTAGCTTCAATTGACTCATAATTTGTAATTATCGTTAATTCTTTGTATTTTATTCATAATCGTTATGAGTAATATAATAAATTATCATACTTATGCAAATAAATATATGGGACGTTTGTATAAAAAACACAAATGAAAATGCTGAGGAGTCCCAAACTACTACGAAACGGCCATCCAGTGCTTCCAGGTTTTCTATGGTGGTCCAGCTTCAATTAACTCATGATTTCAATCGGTGAAATTTCTAAAATCTCCACAAACACCTTCTGATAATAGTCATCTGCTCACTAGTGACTGACTTCAAGAGATAATCCTGGAGTTCTAGTGAGAAGCCGTTACCAGTGGAGTTCAACCAGGTCCGTTGTGAGATATCAGCCCACTGAAGACAATGGTATACGGTGGCGCAACTTCTTGGACTGGTTGAAGTTAGACATTAATACTGTTTGTTGCCAGCTCAGTGGTCTAGTTGGTTAAGCGCCTGGCGCGAGACTGATAGGTCCTGGGTTCAAATTTCGTGGGGTGCGGGATCGTGGATTTGCACTGCTGAGTAATCCCATACTGGGACGAAACGGGCGTCCAGTGTTTCCAGGTTTTCCATGGTGGTCTAGCTTCAACTGACTCATGATTTCGATCTGTGAAAAATCTTTTTTTACAACAGAACCGTTTAATGTATATTTTCTATGCTCATTAATTTCACAGTTGTATATGCCTCAAACTAATTTTTTATTAAAATAAAAGTAAAAATTGTTTATTTAAAAACATTATTCATCGTGTCCTCATGTGATCTGATTATTAAAACAACGTAAACTACATTTATTTCCAGGAAAAAAACAAATAAGGACACAATAATTGCTTTATTACTTTAGAGAAGAAATAAAAATCAATTAAAACTTTACATCACGTTTTTTTCAGATGAAAACATTTCTCATAAAATTGAAAGTCAAATCATTCAATGGCATATTCAATAGTATAGAGATTAAGTGTTTGTACGTGAGACTGTAGACCTGTGTCCAGTCCCCTATAGAGTCGTGAATGTGAACTGGTGAAAAGTCTCATATTAGAACAAAACATACTTTCAGTGCTCCCTAGTTTTCATTGGTTGTTTAATTAAAATCAGTTCATTATCTTAATATGAAAATTAAAAAATCTTCACAAACCACAATACACTACAAAACATTTAGCATAAAATCAACTTTGTACGTTCTCCGTTACAAAAAATACATTATGTTTGCAAACGTTTATATAATGTTGTCAAAGGCATGATAAAATAAGCCAATTTCTAACACGCCTAGTTTAAACTATAACTTATAGTTACTATTGTCACTATTTATTTCTATTTTTCCAATAGTTATAATAATAATTACCGTAGTAAATAGCTTGAATCGGGTAATAATAATAATCGAATGGTGAATAAAAAATTATAGTTAATGGTAGGATAGACGGTTCTTACGAACTAATACAACCAGGAAGAAATATGTCAGTTAAAGTTTTTATCACTTTATGAAGAGTTACGTGTGGTAGCGTTTCATGTCACTAATTTGTACTGTTTTTCAGAATCCAATCAGGGAGTCGTGAAGGAGCGACAGATCCTAGTCCAGTACAGTTTTCTTTCGTACTCTGCCATCTTGTCACAAACTGACCGTCTTTTCGCTTTTCCAACCAGTCCAAGAGTCAGCAATTAAAGCACCAAATATAGTCGCTAGGATAACATTCCTAGCGCTTATCCAAGCCATCAAGGCTTGTGTTTTAAGATGATGACACAGGTCAAATTATTATTACAGTGCCCGAACATTGCTGAATTTCCGCATTACTAACACAGTGTTGCGACCGGATATCATCAATCCTTCTGCAACAACGATAATTGAACAAAAAGAGTTGTTTATTATCCCCAACACGGAGACCCGAAGTTTCGCTGAGTCGTTAGGTGACTCTAAGCCTATTTTTGTTTGATATTTTGCCGCAACCAAATCTGTAGGCCATTTCCTTGCAACACTCACACCATCACCACGAATCATACAGCTATCCAGACACAAAACTTTCGGCTACTTCTAATAGCTCACCACCAAAACGACTGCACTCACATACTCCTGCTAACAGGATAGGACGATGACTAGCAGAAAAATTCAAGATACGTATTTCACCCCATTTGGTGCTCGTCATCTGTGCATACCTGTATGTGTTGATGCTTACACCTGGACTCGGACCCAGTACTCATTGTTTCAAATGCACAATGCATTATCCATTTACCTTCAGGGTCCAGATAGTCAATAGCTTGTGATACGGTGTATATTTTAACTAATTTGTTTTGTTTGTTTGAATCTACCGTTGATTTCATGCACTGTGACTTAACGAGTTCCGATGTAAACACTAACACTGAGGTACAGACAAATCCATCATGTAAGTCCTAAATAGGAAGAAACGTGTTTCATGTATTTCACTACTAACAACCGTCCAACTCAGTTTAAAGTGGAAATAATCTGGCTACTGAGCCAATTACAATAAAATTCCACTATGTAGTTTTAAAAATGTAATAACTCTTCTGGGATCAGTAAGACAAACATTCTGTAGCTTGTTTTTAAGCAAAATGGTAGTGTTGAGCTACCACCCTTAATCCTACCTTAAAACATATTGAAATAAAAAAGGTAATAATGTAGGCTTAAATGCATCACATTAAAATCTAGTTTTTTTAATACACAGGGTAATTATTGGTTTAAACGAGATAAGTAGCAGTACCAGTAGCTGCCTTTGTATTGTCTATGAATCTACACGAATTGGTAATTTTATATTTTTCGACTTGTGGATAGGAAACCTTAAACCAATATTTTCGACGTGCTGATAGACATCATTCAAGTTTTCTTGAATATCGAGAGTACTGAAACACTTTGAGCAATGTGTTTAACCTAGTTAACAGTAAAAGTGTAAATCAATTGCTAGAAGTTAGTCAGGATTAAGTACTAAACAAGAAGACACCAGCAACTACCCTGTAACCGGTTTGTGTAAACGAATGAATAAAAAGGTGAAATAAAAATCTACTGACTCCAAAGAACTCGTTTGATTTATAACAATTAATATTTCCAAATTTGCCTTGTCAATTTGATTTTTAAGAATTACAAAGACCTTTTGAAAATGTTTCACAAGAACGTTTACAGTGAACTCAAATGTCAACACACGTTATTTATCCCTGTTTTGAAAGAAAAAACAGGAAGTAAGGGGTCACAGCAAAATAACTGATTTCCAGATGATAAAGAAGATATGCAGCTGACGATAGAGATTAGTGTGGAATCAAATTGTCTGACCTGTGTGATACCATTCTGAGGTTGGTACCGACTTTCTTGACATCATTAGTAGGAGTTGATCTGAAAACTGATGTAAACTTAGCAACAAGGTCGAGCTCAAATATGACAAACAGTAAACGGACTATTCCTCTATATCAGCAAACAAAACTAGAGTATTGAAACCGTTCAAAATAGGCTTTGGGGTTGAGTTATAAAAGTCACTTCAGTCATTTTTTATGCTAACGAAAAGAACAAAACCATTCAGACTTATTATTTACAACACAGGCTGTCAGCAATTTGTAGAGAAATTTTGATGTTTAACCTTTATTTGAAGATTATATTAATGATACTGTCTAGCATGACAATAAAAGACTTTTAATTATTATCTACATTTCCTAAATAATTCTATTCTTCATAGTAATTCTCTTTAAAAATGAAAATTATTCTATAAAAGCCATGGTATACCGAATGCTTAAGAGATAATTTCCGTAACTAACTAATATCAAGCAGAGAATTATTGACAACGGGTACATCCCTATTTTTTGACCACACAGAAGAACGCGTTGATTGCTCCATACAAATTCCGAATCAAATTATTGTAACATGCTTTTATTAAAGATAATATATAAAATGAACCTTTGTTGAATTCCAAACATCATAAAAAAATAACTACCTGTACAAAGAACATTTTCCATTTGAACTGAAGGAGCTGGTGCGAGTGGCTGCCTAGAAGCTTGTCCTAATAAAGATTCTAAACATTGATAATTTGCATAATCATCTCCAGAAACAGATAAATCTTGAAATTTATTTAATTGTGTGATTAACTGTTGAGTTGCTCGTTGTACTTTATTGTTTTGTTCAGAAAGTGGGACAGTTTCAGACATTGTACTCAACGGTTGTTGAGGTAATAATAAAGTCTGAGATAGATTTGATTCATTTATATTCATATCAGGGGTACAAAATCTACGTAGTGTTTGCATTGGTGTGACTAATGATGCTGGATTCATAATTCGCATTGCTGATGATTCATCTCCTGATGAATAAGATGAACGTAATTGTGCTGGATTTCTTTGAATCGTATTATTACTGCTACCACTCCCAAACAGAAAAGGAACTTGTCTTTGCATGTTTAATGGAATGTTAGCTGAAGATTTAGCAGAACATTGCAATGCAGCCATCGCGGCAGCCGCTGCTGCTGCTGCTGCCGCAGCTGCAGTTGCCTGTTGTTGCTGTTGTTGTCTAATCTGTAGTGTTTGAACTTGATATTGTAAGTCTTTAGCATTATTAATTGCTAGTTCAGAATCAGACCAACGATTAGATGTGTTAAATTTCTGTTGGTTCAGTATTGTATCTATGCCCATTGGCGAAAGATTAGAAGTTTGTGATGACTGCGGCTCTATTCGAGATTTACTCGCAGAAGCAGCGGCTAATAATGCTGAAATTAACTGTTGATAATTTGCTTGCTGTTGATTTGGTTGGTTTTGGAGTCGTGTTTGCTGTGGTTGATTTGATACCTTTCCAGGATCGTATACTGGGTCGCCGTGAATACGGTTTTGACTTGTTTGTTGTTGTTGTTGTTGCTGTTGTTGTTGTAGAAAATAAGGTGTATTTCTACTTCTATTATCAGTCAATTGATTTAAATTATGAATCAAACTTTCAGGATGTGCATCATAAAGTTGAGCTTGTTGCCGATTCGGTTGCTGTTGACGTTGCCAGTTAGATAATAGTTGTCCACCACGAATGTTACATGTACCAGTTGTTGCAATACGATTAGTTGGCATATACACATAATCACGTGATGAAAGTAAATGAGATAACATTTTGTTTTGATCATTTATATTCCCTGTTGAATCTAAAGTATAATCTGAAGTTGGTCGACTTGGTCCAGGTAAATTAGATGGATTTACTCCTTCTTCTGGAACAAAATGTACACGAGGATTTATAGTTTTACTTTCATTCATATTATATCTATTTGTTTGTTTATCACATGTATAAAAATCTTGAATAATTGATTTATTAGAATCTTCTGTCATATTTTTATTTACTTTTTCAATAAAATTATTAAAATTATTAAAATTTGAAGAATATTTAGGTTTTATTAAATAATTTAATTTTTGATAAGATTCAGATAAATTTGATATAAGTGATAATGTTGATTCAGAGCTTGTTTCAAAAGCAGAATCAAATGAACTAGTATTGATTTTTTTTAATTGATTTAATATTTGCTTTTTATTTAATTTAGAATGATTCAATGTATAATTTTGATCAATAGAATGTAAGAAATGATCATCATAATTTAAATTTGAATTTTTATATAGTGCATTTTGAAAAAATCCTACATGATTGTTTATATTGGTACATTCTATATAAAATGGATTATGACAAGGATTATGAATAAAATTGTTCACAGATTGAATGAATGATAAATTGTGAATATTTTTATTCCCTTCTAATTGTTGTAACTCACTATTTAAATTACAAGAGGTTTGATCAGATTTATTAATGTATAGTTCGCTTGAAATTCCACTGTCTACAGATTCTTCAGCCATCTGATGCTCCAAATGGAGCTGATTATATAGAATAAACTTACTTGTATTATATTGTATTATTTGATTTATCAAGAAAATATTATTATATTCAATAATGTTATGATTATTGTTATTCAATAAGAATTGATCAATTATATTGTTATTTATATTTTCAATATTCAATAATTTAAGATATTTAAATTTCCAATAATTATTTGATTGATTAGTTATATTTTTCAATTGTCGTTTAACAAACTCAATTATCAATGAATTATGATTGTAATAATTATTGATTTGATTATAAAATATGTTTATATTTAATTTTAAATGATGCACAATTTCTATTTGAATATAATCAATAAAATATTGATAACAATAAGAACAATGAAAATAATCATCAAAATAAAATGAATAGATGGAGATAGATACAAACCACTGAGATAAATAATAACACTGATTAAATACCAACTTAAACATTCTATTAAATAAATAAAGTCTTTGTTTTTTATTAATAAGTTTATTGTTCTTTTTTCATGTCTAATCCATTTATGATTATTCTTATTATTATTATGATCATCACAACGAAAGGTTATTTTGTAGAAAATTGACAAACATTTAGCCATTAAATTTCAATTGATCTTAAAAAGAATTTTTTTGGTATAAAAAAATTATTCTTCGCTTTGATTACTGATATGATTTGTTGTCATGGTTACTGATAAGTTATACGTAAATCAAATCATGTTTTTTTTCTTTCCTTCTTTCTTTTTTTTTGTTGAAAATATGATGTTTCTCTATTTCACAAAAGTAGTAATGTTCTTTCTTTTTTTTCCTGAAAACGCTTTTTTTTCTCTTCTTAAAATGATCCACAGTATGTAAGTTTGATTTTGGATTGTATAGTGCTTTATTCTTTTTCGAAATAATTAGAATAATATGAATAAAATATTAATATATTAATTCCATGCATGAATACAGTTTTTGCTTATTATCATTAGATTGAATTGGAAATATCATTACATTGATCATAAATGAAAATTCAATATATAGATAGGAAGATTTAGGATTTCGCTTATGTTAACTGTTACAACTATCGTTTACTACTTTATAAAATACTCTGTCATTCATAGACAGGTAATACACGTGTTAGTAAATTGATCCATGTTTTTTTTTCATGTTGTTTTACTGCTTTTCCGGTAACATTAAATAAAATGATTGTAATAATAATTCCTAATATTTGATGCAATAGAAGTAATAATAATAATAATAATAATTGTGGTGGTAGTAGTAACTTTTAGTGGGCATTCACTGAGACTATATAATTAATCGATTTATTTTGTAGTGGGGTTGACAGCCAATCTAGTTGAAGGGTAGAGCTAGATAAACTGAGTAAGTGGGTGAGTAGGAATCTTTTAGATCAATAAATGCATACAAACATGTCTGTCTGTTATTTTTAAATTAACTATTCTCACTTGTCATTCATCTATGTATACAGACAAACATACACATCATATTACACATAAATATATACATACAGTATACATGTATGTTTGGAGTAGGAAATTTTTATCCACAAAATTTGGCATTATGTTCAGATAAACTAGTCATATCTGAGTAAATATAGGAATACAATGTGAAGCTACCTTGATATACATATGTATATATATATACACAGTCAAACAGGGAGTAAGTCCAATGAAAATACTGTATGTTGCTATTTGTAACAAAAATAAATATGAACATGGGTAGAAATTTTATGAATACCTCGTCAATTTTATTGAGCATTGAAGTTTCTAAAAAAAAATACACAAACTAAAAAAAGTTGAACTTAGACCAAAACTAGTTACATTCTCAGGTAATACACACATCCAATCGCTTGTATATCTATCTATATATATTAGAGATTGACTGATTAACAATAATCTATTCGATAATCCAATACTCATATTGTATATCCATATTTACACACGTGAAACATGATAACTACACACTCATGTATTGATATCAAATTATATAATAAGCAAGTAAATATTTCTTTGTCAGAAAAAATAATAATAAAGTCAATGATACAAGAGAAATGAGATACAATATGAAGAAGTCTTGTTTCAGTAATTTTCTTTCATTTTTTTTCTTTGACTAGTTTATTAGAATATTTTTTTATAATTATATATACTCATGGGATTATAAAGATAATCATAGAAAATGAAATTTGAATATAATTGAAATAAAATAGTAAAATAATTTAAAGAGTAATATGGTAATCATTATGATTATTTTCACTATGTACTACAAAGATATAAGAAGTTTAAATCGACGATATTTATCTACCCAGTAACAAATAGGACACCATAATTGGATCCTTATTCAACATTAATATACAGTTAAGTTTATATACATCTATGAAAAATATTAAAATAATCAATGTAATTTGTGATTAAATGATAATAATGAAATAGATTACGTAACTAATTATGATAAGGAAAAATTACTTGTTATAATTTTTCTTCAATTGACAGATAATTCCCATTTAGCTTAGTTGATCGTTTTCTAGTTTTGCCATGAAACAATCTGCTAAAATCGGACCCAATGGAGACCCCATTGCGATCCTATCCCTATGTCTATATACTTCATTATTGAAACTAAACTGGACATTAAAAGTACAGCGTGACAATAGTTCTTTCAAGTGTTCAGTCAGCAAACCTAGATCTATGTTGTTGGAATCAATATACTCACATATAATACATATAGTTTCGGTTAAAGATACGCTAGTGAACAAAGGGTTAACGTCAAGCAATAACATGTGTTTTCCGGAAGTATTAACGTCCTTAATATGATCAATAAATTGAAAAGTATCATGAATAGAAAATTTAGATACGTGCCTTCTAACCGCTTCCAATTTAAACGTTAAAATTAAAACACAAAGTTCAGTGAAAGCATCTCTTTTCAACAACTTGATCTTTCTATTACGTCATCTTGGTTAATTGTGTTCAGCTTGATAATAAATTCGTTGAAAAGAGATCCTTTCGCTGAACTTCGTGTTTAAATATTTTTTTTTATTTGATGTCAGGTTATAACATAAATTATCTGTCAATAAAATACTTGATATTAGTTTTATTAATAAATTCACTATCTAACTCTTTTGACATAGAAATGAACTTAAATTCATGTTTCGAATTCGATCCTTAGGAATGTTGTCTATGGATACACGTAAACAACTTTAAATATGTATATATATATTGATACACTTGCATTACATTGAACTGATATTAATAATACCGTTTTAATTCATTCACTAGCATTATCGATTAAAATGGACTTACCATCATAAAACAAAAGTTTAGCATAATGAAAACACAACTTAACATTGTCATGCAACGCTCTAATTACAAAATATATATTTAAATAAACATATTTAATTAAGATGATGATAATGTCAACCAAGATATGGATACATTCAACATCTATATATTAGTATATAGGTATTTGAATATATGTAACCGTATATATATATTAGCATATCCGCCCATCTATACACATCGATAAATGAATGCATACACATGCACATTAATACACAAAAAAGAACGATAACTTTGGATATATTTTTCAATGTCGTCACTTCCTTATTATAATTGTCTATTAGATTAAGAGCAATAAAATTCTTTTTTGACATTTATTAAATTAAAAATAAATTAGAGAAGACAATTTGTTGATGCAAGTTACAAATGGATAACAAATTATCAAAAGATAGTTTTGTGGAAATTTTAGTAATTTGATAGTTGAATTCATAAGTCAGTTAAAGCTAGACTACCATGGAAATTCTGAAAGCACTATACGGCAGTTTCGTCCTAGTATGGGACTCCTCGGCAGTGCGCACCCAAGACCACATCCAAAGGGGTTCAAAACCGGGAACTATCGAAGTCGTACACGTGATCGCTCAACCTCTAGACCACCAAAACCGGCGTCCAATGATGTTAATGTCTAACTTTGACCAATCCAATTGTTTCTTCTTTTTAAAAGACTCCAATTAGATCAAGTGAAATATGAATGATCTAAAGGATGTTATATAATTATTTTCAATTTACAAATAATAATGTCACTTAATAAACATTGATATGATGAAAATCTGATTTTTACTTTTTAACCTTTACAAATACGGTCAATTATTTAATTAATAATCGAATGAATCGATTAGCTAGTTTAGTGACTTTTTTTAGTTGATTTCGATTGAGATCAATCCATCAACCAACAATCAAAAATAATCTTCATAAGACTATTTCATCTTTCAGTATCTGAATCGAAGTTCGGTAAAGCGTAGGTTGTATTTAAATCACTAAATTATTATTTAATGAATAGGTTATATTCAATTTCACTCTGCATAAGTACGGTATATGATATCAGTCTAAAATTGGTTGCAAAATGAATCATTTCGAATGATTTAAATATACATTAATACACAAGCTAGAGTTGACTGCACAGGTAAAATGGTCTTTTCTACTTATTACTATTTTTATTCAGAGTTAATCTCATTCATGATGATGTAATAGATTTAAACTTCAAAAATTTCGGAATAAATCAATGTTTTGAACAATATACGA